GAAAAGCAGGGGTCCCAGGACTGAGCCCTGGGGGACACCCGAAGAAACTGTAAAATGCTTAGAAGTGAATGATTTAAGTTGAATGAACTGAGTGCGGCCAGAGAGATAAGATTTGAACCAGTCAAGTGGGATATTGGTGATGCCAAGAGAAGATAGTCTACTGTTGAGGGTGCTGTGACAAATAGTGTCAAAGGCTGCACTCAGGTCAAGGAGAATGAGAACAGATATTAGTCCAGAATCAGCTGCCATAAGTAGGTCATTGGTGATTTTAATAAGGGCAGTTTCCGTGCTGTGAAGTGGACGGAAACCGGACTGGAACTATTCATACAGGTTGTTCTGAGATAAGTGGGTTTGGAGTTGTGTTGCCAAAGTTTTTTCTAGGATTTTGGAAATATATGGTAAATTAGAGATAGGTCGTAAGTTATTAAAGTTAGATGGGTCTGAACCAGGTTTTTTGAGTATAGGAGTAATTGCTGCAGTTTTAAATGAAGCAGGAACAGTTCCAGTGGAAAGAGAAGAGTGAATAATGGCTGAAATAAGAGGGATGAGAGAAGGGAGACAGGCTTTGACCAGAACAGTAGGGAGAGGATCTAAGTGCGAGGAAGATGACTTAGATTTAGAAATTAAATCTGATATTTCTGTAGCTGTAGGTAGTTGAAAAGAGGAGAATAAGTTTTCAGTATGTGGAAGTTCAGATGTGATGCTTGGAAAAGATTCTGAACCAAGGTGCTGGTGAATATTAAAGATTTTTTCATTAACCCTTCTGTTGTGTTAGGGTCAAAATTGACCCGTTTTCAAGTTTGAAAGTACACTTTCCTTTTTTATCCTGGAATGAGGCTTCATCTAATCCTCAGACACACATATTTAAATGCAGCAAAAGCAATTTTCACAATTTTAGTAAATTCTAAACGGCTCAAAAAAAAAAAGTTACATCTGTGGTGTTACGGGTCCAAAATGACCCGGTAGAGAATTCTGGCTTTTGTATGCATCACTTAAAAGCTACGGGTTTTCCAAATGATCAATTATGGTCCAATATGCACAGTTATGGCCCACATCATCATACACAAACACGCACACACACACACGCACACACACGCACACACACACGCACCCACGCACACACCCACGCACACAGGCCTCTTTCACATGCATAGGTACAGACATGTACACACACACACACACACACACCACCCCCCAAGTGAACTCAAACTTTACATTGTTCATAAACACTGGCACATACAAAGAGGGTTTGGGATATTATCAGTTGAATTCTGTAAGAGCATCTGTTAACATGAGCAAAAGATATACTGTTCATGAGGCACTGGGTCGTATCTTTCCCAATGATGGTGATCCTGAGAATAGAGGGGAAAGTGAAGCTGAGGAGGATGTGTCTGAGGATGAGGTTCTGAACAAGACCAAACATATGAAGAGGACCCAAATGTCACAGATGATCAAAGACAGGTTTTCAAGTCAAGAAAAGGTGACAATTCATGTTTATCAAGCCCTCCTCAAACCCATTCCAGGGCACCGACAGAGAACATCCTCAGAATGACTCCAGGGCCTACTAGATACGCTGTGTGACACGCCCAAGACTTCAAATCAGCGTTTGAACTGTTCTTTCCACAATCTATTCAGAAAATCCTACTTGAGATGAGCAACATAGAAGGGAGAATTTGGTGATAGCTGGACAGAGATGGAAAAAACACACTCGATGCCGACATGGGACTGTTGCTTCTTGCAGGGGTATGCAGATCCTGTAATGAAGCTACGGCCAGTTATGGGATGGTGAATCAGGACGTCCTATTTTTCATGCCACAATGTCGTTTCAAGCCTTTCATGTGTTATCAAGAGTGCTACGTTTTGACAACAGGGAAACAAGAGTTGCTCGTCGTGAGAATGACGAGTTTGCTCCCATTAGGGAGGTTTGGGACAAATGGGTGGAAAATTGACCCTTTGTGTACAATCCTGGGCCAGAGGTGGACAGTGGATGAATGGCTAGTCCTATTCAGAGGCCACTGTTCCTTCAGGCAGTACATGCCAAGCAAGCCTGGACAATAAGGTACCAAAAAATGGGCAGCATGTGATGCAAGAACTGCCTATGCATGGAATATGCAAATATACTGGAAACCTGAGAGTGGAGTGTCAGAGAAGTTTATCGATGTTCTTTTATGGTTAAATTGTTTGGTTAATTGGTATGGTTAAATAGAAATTTGTTTTATGACAAAAAATGGACTTGTTGTCTTTATCCTACCATTTATCTATGCGGGTCCGTTTTGACCCGAAACACCAAAGATGTTACTATTGTTGATAGTGTCCAACTAAAAACAATTTACACACTGGTGCCATTTATATGAATACATACTAAGCCAGCAATTAGCTGAAAAACAAAATTTGAAGAAAACTGGTGATTTTAAGCATTTTCAAGCATTTTTAAATCACGGGTCCAAATGGACCCGCTAACACCACAGGTGTAAACAGGTTTCTAACACAACACAAGGGTTAAAAAGGTCATGATAGAATTACAGAAAGCTGTTGAGTGAAGGTGAGATGGTAGAGAATCCGGGGGGTTAGTGATAGACTTGTAAAGTGAAAACAGAGATGCAGTGTTACCTTCATTGGAGCCTATGAGATTGGAAAAATAGTTGGATTTGGTTTGAATAATGCAGTTCTTATATTGTAGGATGTGATTTTTGTACATGTCTTTGTGAATGTTAAGGCCAGTTTTTTTTTATAGTCTTTCAATTTGTCTGCCTTTGTTTTTGGAAATAATACGAGAAGGTTTGGTGGAGGAAAGAGGGAGTGCAAAATTGAATGAGAGGAGAAAATGATCCGTTATTGGCAGTTCATCAGCTAAGAAGTCGGTGGGTGAAACACCAGAGCAGCAGATGAGGTCGAGGGTGTGTCCTTTAGAGTGTGTGGGGACATTGACATGTTGTGCAAGTCCAAAGCTCTCAAGACAGGATATAAAATCTCTTGTTAGAGAGTTATTGATATTGTCCACGTGAATATTAAAATCTCCTAAAACTATAATATTTGCTGAGAGGGTGGTAATATGTGTTAAGAACACAGCAAAGTAATTTAAAAAGTCATTATTTAGTTTGGGAGGACGATAAATTATGGCAACATATGTAGGTATGGATCCAGAGAGTTTAGACAGCATACACTCGAAAGAAGAGAATGAAGGAACGGGAACCGGCGAGATTTTCAAACTCACGCGGTAAATCATCGCGAGATCTCCTTCTCGACCTCCTCCGCGGTGGTTGACAGGCGTAAACAAACCCTCCAGGAGTGGATTCATTGAGTTGCGTAAAGTCGTTGGGTTGTTGCCAGGTCTCAGTTAGACACAAAAAGTCAAGGTTGCGATCGCTGAGGACGTCCTGGACAAGATGTCCCTTGCTCGTAAGTGAGCGGATGTTTAAAAGTCCGAAGTTGATCTTGATGTTGTCAGAACGTACATCAGTGTTAGCCGACCTAAAACTTAGGTTGGCTAAAACTCTGTGGCTGAAGGTCCGACCGGTGTTCTGCGGAGGACGACGAAAATGGGACTAAATGGACTTTATTTGTGTCGATGAGTCCTGGTGAGCACTCCGTCTGGATCCACGGTGAATATATCTCCGGCGGGGCAGGAATGCGATGTCTGGATAGAGATGCAGCACATCTGGAAAAGGCGCAGAGAGATGGAGCCGCAAGCGGTGTAATTCAGCAGCCGTATACTGGAACAATCCCATCGCAGGCTGGTAGACAAGCGTCAGGAGACACCAGTCAACCACAAGCCAAAAGTACAATTTGCCAGACGATAGCTTGTACATTGTGGAGCAGACGCTGGCAACTTAGATGCGCAGGTGAGCAGAAACCAAAAATACCACAGGCGCAGAGCAGGTAAAATCCATCAAACTCAAGGACAGTGGAATTGTCCGAGTTTAGTGAAGTCGGTTCGACTGTAGATGGTGATTGTTGAGCAATATTTAAAAAGTTTTACCGGTGAGCAGCGGCAACAGATCATGCCAGCGTTCACTCAGATGGACTTACTTTACTCAGTCATTGCCAGGGCTGGCAGTTTGCAATGAATGTCAATTGAATGTAAGCATGGGGTCAAAATCTAAAGCAACAAAAAATACCTCCAACCTGTGGACTCACCTAAAGATACACCACTCAACTATCTTTGAAGAGGCAAAGAAAAAAAGAGATGCTGAAGAGGAAAATAAATCAAGCCAAGTTCAAGCTTCTCTTCCTATGATGTTTGATAAGCAGGCAAAGTGGAAGACATCTGATGTCCGCTCAAAAACGCTGGACAGGATGATTACTGAAATGATTGCTACAGACAATCAGCCTTTCAGCTTTGTTGAAAATAAAGGTTTCCAGAGACTCATGGCTACTGCAGAACCAAGATAAATCCCGGACGAGCCCAGCTTTAAATATGGTTCAACACCTAAATTTTCTACTCTTGTTGCATCTGTAGTTTTGTTTCCACATTGCACACCAAACAAAACCCATGCACCATGGCTTGTTGGTCTAGGGGTATGATTCTCACTTTGGGTGCGAGAGGTCCTGGGTTCAAATCCTGGATGAGCCTAGCTTTAATTATGGTTCAACAAATAAATTTTCCATCCTTGTTGCATCTGTAGTTTTGTTTCCACATTGCACACCAAATAAAACCAAGGTTCCAGGGCTCGTTGGTCTAGGGGTATGATTCTCGCTTAGGGTGTGAGAGGTCCCGGGTTTAAATACCGGACGAGCCCAGTTATACTTATGGTTCAACACCTATATTTTCGAATATGCTTTGCATCTGTAGTTTTGTTTCCATTTGGCAAACCAAATAAAACCCATACACCATGGCTAGTTGGTCTAGGGGTATGATTCTTGCTTTGGGTGCAAGAGGTCCCGGGTTCAAATCCTGGACAAGCCCAGCTTTCATTATGGTTCAACACCTAAATTTTCCACCCTTGTTGCATCTGTAGTTTTGTTTCCACTTTGGACACCAAATAAAACCCACGTTCCAT